GCGGTCCAGCAGCAGCTGAGGGTTGGGGAATCGGCGAGGAGGGGCCTCCCGACACGGGCAGGGACTGGCTCCAGCCTGGGGTCCCAGGTGTCGTGGGGGAGGCCACCAGGCCAACATGACCCCAGCGTACCGGGGCCCCTTCCTTAGTGCCTTGCTTTGGGCCCTGCAGGGGGAGGTGGTCACAGGACCAAGCCCTCTACCGGAGCATCAGCAATACCTCAGCCTCCTGGCCCTGTGCCCATGGGTTGGAAATGCCCCACCCTCCGTGCTCCTTGCACCTTGACCACCTATTTATTAAATTCATGTCCACCTGGAGCTCCACCTGTAAACATGTGCCCTCTGGGGGAAGTTGCCATCCCATGGCTCTCCGTTCCTGACACAACCTGGACCCAGCTGCTGGCACCTTGTCTGGCCCTGGCTGGCCCACTGATATCCAGAAGGGTGCCTGGTGGCCTGCACTGCAGGTGAGGTGGCAGGATGCAGTTCTAAATAAGGCAGCTGGAACAGCCCAGTCCAGGATAACGCCTCCTGTGACAGGGAGATGCTGGGGAGGACAGCTGCTCACAGGCAGAGCCAGTGCAAAGGCCCCAAGGCAGGAGGGGCTGCTGGGTATCCCTCACCATCAGCAGAATATCTGCGCCTCCTACCCTCCACCTGCCCACTGCTTGGGGGCGCTTATGACTTCTGTGCCCTTTACATTCACCTGTTTGTTCAGTGTACTCCTCGTCTCGCCAGTCTGTGAATGTGACCCCAGTGTGATAACGCCGTTGTCCTCAAAGAGAAGAGCTAAAAAGTAGATGTTGCCGAGGAAAAGAAACTCAAGAATGGAATCATTGCTCGGCTTTATTTTTGGCCGTGACACACATTTGATCACATGTCTGTCCACCAACAGGGAGACAAAGCAAGCAGGCCACCTGCCCTGACTGGTGAACTAGCAGAGGCAGACAATCTTGAGGTCTACGAACATGGCAATTAATCCAGGAACCTAGGACCTAGGGAAGGATGCGCTGTTTGGCCTGGGAAACTCGGATTCAGTCTCCTCTTCCCACTAAGATGGGAAGGGATACTGAGGCCCCAAGAAGTGCATGATGTGGAAGACCAGGGAAAGGTCCTTAAGGAAGGAGTCGAAGACTGTGTAGAGGTGGCCAGGGTCCTGAGCAATCCACCTCCTAAGAGTGAGAGAAAACAAAAATTGAGTAACAGTAGGGATTTGTCCCCAAACACCTTGTTTAGAACTAGCATTGGGGAGCCTCCCTGGGTCCCTTCAAATAGCAGCCCCCCTTATACTGTGGCCACCCTTCCCCCAAACCCAGCCCCTCACAAGACTGACACAGCCAGAAGGTTGCCATTGATGATGAGCTCCCTGTAAAAGTCGGGGTGTTCATTAAAAAGAGCCAGGTATCTTTCGGCGACCTCCGCTTCTAAGGGAGACTCGAAGGAGACCCTGAGGGTGCTGTGGAGCGATGGTTAAGGCACGGTGGTGTACGGACTGGACCCCTGGACAGCCAGGTCCTCCTTCCTTCCTGACAGCTCCCAGGCTGGCCCCGGGCCACACACACCACACACACACACACACACACACAC